GGGTAACGAGAGCGAAACTCCGCCTCAAAAAAAAAAAAAAAAGAAAAGAAAAAAGAAACTAGACTTTATTTAAGCTAACGACTAACAGATTCTAGTCTAGCAACCCACTAATTAACCAACTAGATTCTTACCTAGCTAATCACAAACTAAGAACTAGACTCCTGTCTATCTAACTAGTAACTAACAAACCATATCTAATACAGCTAACCACTAACAAACTAGACTTTTACCTAGCTAACCGCCGACTGACAAACTAGGCTGTAGTCCAGCTAACCCACTCAGAGAGGTGCTGGGTAAGTCGTGTTAACATTTTGATTTCTTGATGTTATTGTAAGGGTCTCATAATGAAATAAAGACTTTAAAGTTTCTTGAAAAAAATATAAAATTTCCAATACGGTTATAATCAGGACAAATAAAGCTAGTTCACCAATATCACATAACATATAAATGCCAAGCATTATTTGATGGTGATGCCATCCTGCCCACCGGGACACATCATCCCAGGCCACACCTGTTACAGCTAGAAGAGGGACCGGTTTAGCATCTTAAACTGATGAAAGCATTGTGATAAAGTGAAGCAGAGTGGGGAGCAATGCTCTAAAACTTTGGGAAGCTCATGGGAAGCTGTGTATCCTCATTCCCAGAGACTCCAAAATGTTCGCCTGAATGCTGCCTTACAAACATACGGGTGTACAAACAAACAAGGTTTTCATGTATGAGTGTAAACCTCAGTGTGCTGCGCTCAGCCCTAGGCAGCCCGCCCCATGCAGGGCGAAGGTCACGAGGCGTCTGGTAGCTGCAGCTGATGCTCCTGGGTCGCTGTGCTGGGATAAACTTGCGGGCAGGACTGTGACGCCGCAGCCATCCTGACCAGCTGCTGGAGTCAGGCAATAACACGTTCCTACTGTTTTCAAGGATTTAGATTGTACCTACTGGTGTCTTTCTTTATGGATATCTAGACCATTCTAGTAACAAGATGTTCATAGGGCCACAGGTGTCTGACGGAGCAGGTAATTATCCCTAACCATGGCTGTGGAATCAGTAAGTTCCGTGGTACTCACTGGTGCCATTTAAAACAAAGGGGATACGCAGTTTGCTTCTGATTGAGTTGGATCTCATTAAAGGTATGAAATTTCCATTTTTGTTAAGGTGATCAACAATTTGGAATGTTCCAGAATCCTAAAGTCAGGACGTCATGCCTGCATTTTTTTGACAAGAATTCAGTCATTCATTTTCTCTGAGCTTCTTTTCTTACCTGCATTTTATCTTTTTTAAAAAAAATCTACTACACTTGAAATCCTTTGAAAAGAAAGTAGCACTAAAGTACTGAGCCACTAAAGTTAATAAAATTTAGTTATTTTTTCTTATTAAAGCTAAAGAACTGTTTTGAAGCTTTCTGTTACTTCCAAACAGTTTGCCAAGGTAGCACAGACTGCAGCACTTTGCGTCGCTGTCTGATGATCAGGGCGGCTGGAGACTGGACAAACCGACGCAGTCTATCCCAGTCGGCGGGTGTCCATGGACACTGAGTCCAGCCCGGTGGCTCAGGTACCTGCAGTGTCAGACAACATAGCCTTGTCCTCAACAAGCCTGCATCCTAGTCAGGATGAGAATGCAGTTCATCAGTAGCGTAGAACAACGGAGCAGAGGGTTGCAGACTGAAATGCGAGTGACTGGCCAGCAAGTGCTGAGAGCCACAGATCTCAGGTCACCGTAAATTCATAAAAGACCTTCAGAGGCAAGCCAGGGAGGCAAGGCAGGCATGCCCTGCACACAGGAAAAGACTCAGCTGGAAATAAAATCTGTTGTTTATGTGTAGCTGATAACCAGTCATTTCCATCTAAAAGTATGAATAATGCACAATTAGAAATCTCACTTACCGTCCTAACGAGGTGAGCCAGTCTCAAGTATAGACATTTGTCCCTGCTCTGTCTCCACAGCCTGAGCCCTGCACGGACACAGTATCTGTTCAGTAAGTGCTTGGTAAACGGGTGAGGCAGTGAATGAATCAGGAAACCAAGAGGCAGGATTTCCCTTGTTTTCCTAAAACTACGTAGCTTTTATTCTTTACAGAAAACGGTATATTTGCAACAGTATGTTGTTCTTTTGAAGCTCAAATTCTGCTTTGAACTATTAAACTTTGCTCAGATGAGTTCAGGCACTTAATTTTCTGGATGCTGCCAACAAGACAGGAAACTGACCTGCTTGTGTCTCTCCTAACTCTGCGCGTGACTTTGCACATGGCTTCATTTCTCCTGAGTGGCATGTGACCTGTCACAGAAGCTACGTGGCTCTGAGATCCAGGCCTCAGGACTAGGCAGGTGACCCTGGTTAACTGAGCCAGCCCACATGGTCCCAACATACCTCAGACTGGCTGTGAATTTTGTTACCAATTCATAGGCTTCCAGAGACATTTGACTTATAGTTGTGCTGATTGTCAAGATACCAAGTATCATACAGTTCTTCATAAAATCTTTAAACCATTAGGCGTTGAACTATTCAGACCACTTCACTATTTTTTATTTTCTGTAGAGTACTTTCAAATGGTTTTATCTTTTGAAATGTATAATCGTGGAGACGATCCAAGATGGCCGTTTAGGAACGGCTCAGGATTGCAGCTCCCAGTGAAAGCGCAGAGGGTGAGTGGACGCCGCGTTTTTATTGCCCACAGACTAGGAAATTCCCGGGCGGAGGTGCACCACGGTCGCCAGCGCGGCTGTTTCGGCCAGCGCGGCTGTGCCGGCCGGCACCGCTGCTTTGCCCCGGGTGGCTGCTTTGTCGGCGCCCCGGAGCCGCGGTTCTCCGTAC